TATCTTTTTCTCAAATCGATTTCTCAAATCATCCGTGTTGTCACGGACAAAGCTGTACAAAGAGCGTTCAATTGAATGCTCATGTATGTCCATATCAGACATACATATCTTTTGTTCATGCTTTGCATAGCATGTAGAGGACTTGCAGTAGGCCTAGCAGACCTAGTTTGGTTGGCTTTATGGCCGTTTCAGGCTTATAAATGTTGGTTGTGTGTAGTCGTCACATAGAGGCATAACTGCCTAGAAACAGGCTATCCAGGCAGTCATTTTGGAGATTTTCTAACTCTGTAGAGTAGTGCAGAGTGTTAGCCAATACAACACCCAAGAGCTACCTAGATAGCACATGGTTGAATGGGCCTTTGGGGTATTGTCTAGAGCTGGTTCGCTGTCTTGTTCCATAGTAGTGTCATGTGGGTACTTGTGAGGGCTTTGGTCTGTGGTGGACCACCTTGGACCCTTTGTCGCATGACCGTTCATAGCTTGCGAAGTCCATGTTTATAATTTGTAATTTGTATTGTCTATCAAGTACTTGCTGAAATGGTTGTTTGTGGATCCCGAGTTAAACAAGTTCTCTAATCCGTCTTCTCTGTTGTAAATTCTTAAGGGACCACAAGAGGTTTCGGGAAGGCTGACCTTTTGCGGATAGATATGTAAGGGTGCTGCACGACTTAAGCAAAGTCAGCTAAGTCCGTGATAGTGTGATGATTCACGATGAGTAACCATGCTCTTCTATTGGATCTCATGTTCATTTGTTTGCAAATGACAATTGACTAAATGATTTGCTGTATTTTGTGTACAAGTAAATTTTATTTCAACATCTCTTAGCAGAAGCCATTATCTTGTTGAATTATGTCATTGTTGTCAGTTCAGGTTTGAAGTTTTGGGCCTTCATGCATTTGATAGTGACCGAAAGAGAATGTCAGCTGTAATTTGCTGCCCTGACAATTCCGTAAAACTATTTGTTAAAGGTGCAGACAGTGCAATGTTCAGCATTCTTGATAGATCCTTTGATTTGGAGATAGTACGTGCAACTGAGATGCATCTTCACGCCTACTCTTCTTTGGGTCTAAGAACTTTGGTAATTGGTATGCGGGATTTGAGTGGCAGAGAATTTGAGAACTGGAAGGCTTGTTATAATATAGCAAGCACATCATTATCTGGAAGGGAAGACCTACTTGGTGACATTGCAAGCCAGGTAGAGTCTGATCTCAGAATCTTGGGGGCTACTGGAATTGAAGATAAACTGCAGCAAGGTGTGCCTGAGGCCATAGAGTCTCTAAGAAAAGCTGGAATGAGGGTTTGGGTTCTAACAGGGGATAAACGAGAAACTGCTATATCTATTGGGTATTCATGTAAGCTTATATCCAACAATATGAGCCAAATCATAATAAACAGCCATTCCAAGGAATCCTGTAAACAGAGTCTTGAAGATGCCATTACCATGTGTGAAAAACTGACAATTTCAAGAACACAGACTGATGGAGGGAGCACTGGTTCTGCTACAGTTCCTGTGGCCTTAATTATTGATGGCCCTACATTGGTTCATATTCTTGAAACTGAATTAGAAGATGGGGTAAATGCTGATTAGGTTATTGTCTTTAGTTTCTTCTTTTATTTGCTCCTTCTACATACTGATTCTCCATCATCTGGGTGAGGCAGCTATACAGAGTAGCCACTACATGCGATGTGGTCTTGTGTTGCCGAGTGGCTCCATTGCAAAAGGCTGGAATAGTCGCGCTTATAAAGAAGAGAACAAACGACATGACTCTTTCTATTGGTGATGGTAAGAATCTTATGGTAACATGAGGGAGCTTGTCATTGATACTTGTAAGTTGTAACATGATCTTTTTCCTTATGGACCAGGTGCAAATGATGTCTCAATGATACAAATGGCTGATGTTGGCATTGGCATCAGCGGCCAGGAGGGCCGACAAGCAGTTATGGCATCAGATTTTGCCATAGGACAGTTCAGATTTTTGGTTCCGCTTTTACTCGTACATGGTCACTGGAATTACCAACGCATAGGTTACATGATTATTTACAACTTTTACAGGAATTCTGTGGTTGTATTCTTGATTTTCTGGTAAGCATCGTAAGTGATACTTGTAGTCCCTTTAACCTTCTGAAATCATAGTCTGCTTCTACTTTGAATAGGAAATGATATAAACCTAAAGTATAAAAAACAAGAAATGGTTAAAATTTAAGTCTCAAAATTACATCTAATTTTCAAATATATTCCCTGTTGCTTTCTCTATGTTGAGGAGAGCAGTTATATGTTGCTTTCTTTATCTTAGGGAGATTTTTGTTTCTTTTAGGATTCTTTGTCTTGTAATGGCAATTGAAATCCATCATTTCATATGACTTTCTTAATATTGGATATTAAGATCTTTTCATGTTCATGCAAATTAGGTTATACAAAATTATTTGGATGGATCCAAAAAAACATATTTTGTGACATGCTTCAAAACTATGATAAGTTAGTTGTTTGACTTGTTAATTATCTAGCTTAATTGAATAGGAATGATCAGAGACTAATAGAGCATATCAATGTGTGCTATTTTGTATGGTTTTGCATTTAAATCAACTTACACTTTATGATTGTGTGCATTCAGTCCAAGTTATATTTTCTCATCGGTACATTTTCTCTATTGAGGTGAAATTAATTGATTGTCATTTAATGAATGACCATTCCTTCAAAATTTAATGGCGGTTTTCAAGAATAAGTTTAACTGAATGTGAATGTTAATCATTTTACAATTCTAATTTTTATTTAAGTTCTCCCTTGCATGGTAGTATGACATTTGCAATAATTTGATGATCTTTTTGTTTATTAGTTTGTAATTTAATTGGGTTAAAGTTTATTTTAGCCCTTGTGGTTTTGGCCATAGACTTCTTAAGTCCTTACGGTCTACTCGTATTTAAAATAATCCTTATATTTTCATAAACATAGCATATAAGCCGCTCCTGTCAAGCCTGAGTTAATAGACGTTAGAGTCTGCTTACGTGAGATGCTGACTCATAATAAACCATTAATATAATGACACGTGTAATTTAGGGTTAAGGTTTATTTTAGCTCCCGTGGTTTTGAGCGTGGACCTCTTAAGCCCTTATGATTTACTTGTATCTAAAATAACTTCTACATTTTCAAAAACGTAGCATATAAGCCTCTTTTGTCAATCTGAGTTAACAGATGTTAGATTCTGATTATATGACATGTTGACTCACAATAAACTATTAATATAATAACACATGTAATTTAAGTTAAAAAAAATTAAGACCTTCATCAATAGCAGGAGGAGGCGTCGTCGTGGAAGCGACCACCACCAGCAGCACCGAGCCGCTATTACCTAGTAGAGCATCGTACGCACGCAGTCTCTCCCACGCTAATAATGAGCTCATGAGCTTCCGGTCCTGCCTCAAGTGGATGTATGTCAACCAGTCCGACGCTAGGCACCCAATGGTCTCCTGGTCCCTCTTCCTCCTCTTGGGCATCTTCGTTTCCACCGCCTCCCACTTCGTCCTCTTCTGCGCCCCCACCCGTCGTGCCTATGACGTGGTGGTCCAACTCTCTGTCACCTCCGCCTTCGACCTCTCCTATCTTTGCTCTTTGCCTTCGTCCGTCGCTACGGCCTCCGCCGCTTCCTCTTCCTCGACAAGTTGGTCGAGGAGAGCGAGCGGGTGCAGGAGGGATACATGGACCAGCTCAACCGTTCCTTCCGCCTGCTCTCCATCTTCGTGATGTCATGCTTCGCGGGAGAGGTGGCTTACAAGGTATGGAGGTACTCATCGGAATCAGAGTGAGTGCCATTCGTGGTGGCGGGCAACACCGTGATGGGCGACTTATTGGCATACACCTTGGAGCTGGCAAGTGACATCCGAAAGCTCATGAACTCGTCATCAATGCGGGAGAGGCTGCGTGCATATAGCGCCTTGCTAGGCAGCAGCAACACTCGCTTCCACGACGATACCTCCTCCCGTCATTGATGGATGTCTTAGTTTTTTTTAACTTAAATTACACGTGTTATTATATTAATGGTTTATTGTGAGTCAATATGTCATATAAGTAGACTCTAACGTCTGTTAACTCAGACTTAACGAGAGAAGCTTATATGTTACGTTTTTGAAAATGTAGGGGTTATTTTAGATACGAGTAAACCATAAGGACTTAAGAGGTCCATGGCCAAAACCACAGGGGCTAAAATGAATCTTAACCCTAAATTACACGTGTCATTATATTAATGATTTATTATTAGTCAGGATGTCACGTAAGTACACTTTAACGTCTGTTAACTCAAACTTGACGGGAGGGGCTCGTATACTACGTTTTTGAAAATGTATAGGTTATTTTAAACATGAGTAAACCATAAGGGCTTAAGAGGTCCATGGTCAAAACCACATAGGCTAAAATAGACCTTAACCCAATTTAATTTCATGCGACGTTATTCTTGGATGATTGCATAATCTGAGATCATCCTACCTTATCTCATGAGACATCTTGATTGAACCAAGACTAAGGTAATTTCTTTTGTAGTTTCTGCCCTATTCTTCATGAACTTTGCATATCAGGTGGTGGCTGTGGTTGTGTATGTATTGGCTAAGGGATACTCTTGTATAGGTCTCTTACATCTTAAGATTCCCCCTTTATCTGATCATGCTGCTTATCTATAGTGAATAACAATTGCCTCATGTGAGAAATACATTAACTGAAATTTATGGGCTGTTAAGTGCAGGTACACATTTTTCTCAGCATTCAGTTTGATAAGCCCTATAACTGATGCCAGTGGGTTTCTATATTCAGCTGTTTATACTGCACTTCCGACTGTAATCGTTGGAATATATGATCAGGATTTGAGCCATGGGACTCTGCTAAGTTACCCCCAACTCTACGGACCTGGGCTTAGAGATGAACGTTACAACCGAAAGTTGTTTGTTCTGATTATGTTGGATTCCGTTTGGCAGAGCCTAGTTACCGCCTTTGTTCCTTTTCTCTTTTATTCAGGGACATTAGATGACTCCAGCTTAGGAGATATATGGATTGTTTCAGTTGTCCTGTTGGTGAACATACATTTGGCCATGGATGTGTTCAGTTGGAACTGGATTCTACTTGTGACTTTGTGGGGTGTCACAGCTATAGCAATGGGTTGTATAGTGGCAATAGATGCCTCACCTTCAATGCCTGGTTACTGGTATTTCCTCTCACACTTTCCCTGCAATTTTAGTTTCTGTCCATGCATGATTTCTAAGTCAGTAAGGCATTTTCATGTAATCCTTAGTGTAAATTCAGGGATCCTACTTAAGCATTGAGAAATTAATTAAATCTGACAAGACTAAATGCAAGTTCATTCATAGCGAAAGAAGATCAATACATCAGAACATACTCTTTAAGAGATGGCTGCATACATGCATGAAAGGGTTGTTGCTTTTAAAGCATATTTCTAATACATATTTGTTATATATGTCAGGGCCATCAATAATCTAATGGCTACCAAATTATTTTGGCTCTGCTTACTCTGCATCTTGGTGTTGGCATTGCTTCCGCGTTTTGTGGTTAAGGCGTTTGCTTCATACGTAAAACCTGACGATGTACAAATCGTTAGGGAAATCGAGAAGGTTGCTAAGCGAAAACATGACGGAGCCCTAGAAGCTCTATTGAGGTCCTCTTCAGATCATCAGCAGCCGAATTCATGATTTTTATTTTGTCCTTTCGGGTATTCCCTAACTTTTTTTTTTTGTTACTTTGTATATTGATATAGATTTATTTTGGCTGTTAGATTCTTTGTGAAGTTTGTTTACATACATCTATCTGGGTGATTTTATCCCTTTACATCTAAATAGAATATTCTGTTCTTGAAAGGTCAAACTGTCCCTTTTTCCCTAAATGAAATAATACCAGTATTTTATGCCAAACTGAATGTGCACATTTCCAATTGCTTCTTTACTTATTGAGCTGTCAGCCTATTTCAACTTTCCTCACTTAGTTTAGATAAAGATGTTTCCTTTCAGCATGAGAATGTAGACAAATTGTTTATAGGTTTATTGCAAGAAAAATAAATTGTGATTACTAAGTTGAAGAATAAAATGGCACATCTACATCTCATCAATGTAGTGGTCAGAAGTTTCAGCAAAAATGAGAAAAATCCTGCAAATTCTTATATGTACATGTAAGAGTTGATTCTATAATCATAATGTTCTGTACTACCATTGGCAGATAGCCAAATTGGTGTTTAACAAAAGGTGCATCCGATTTATTCAAGCCTTCATGGTTGATTAAATATGAGACAATACAAATGAAAACAGTCTTTTTATGCCATATGAAAATTGGTGTTTAACAAAAGGTGCATCCGATTTATTCAAGTCCTCATGGTTGATTAAATATGAGACAATACAAATGAAAACAGTCTTTTTATGCCATATGAAAATTGGTGTTTAACAAAAGGTGCATCCGATTTATTCAAGTCC